TTCAAATATGTAAACTTGTTTAAATTTGTGATCATACTTATAGTATTTATTTAAAAAAGAAATGAATATGATCAGTTTAGACATTTTGTTTTGTTTTTATGGTGTCAAGTGTTTAGATTAAATCATTCTACTAAAATGAGTTCAAATTTAACACTTTGTTTACTAAAGTAATTTATGTTACTTGTAGTGAATAAGGTTTATATATAAGAGTTAAATAATTTAGTTCTATTTTTTTTCAAGAAATTCGATGATATAATTTTGTCCCACCAAAATTTAAGGGAAAATTAAGGGTAATAACAATGGACTTTACTTTTTTCTTTTTACTAATATATTAATTGTATTTTAATTTTTTATCTATAATAAAAACACAGTTATACTTATTTACCTATAATAACACTAAAAGTAAATAAATATAAACTCATTTTTATTATAAAACCCAATAATAGCACCATGTGATCCATAATAACAATGCCAATTATATTTTCTTACACAAATATATTTCCAATTTTTTACCAATAATAGAAAGATATTTGTGATTTTGCCAATAATAGTAATAGGTACCAAATAAAATATATTGTTCATATAGCAAAATCTAAGTACATTGTTATACGAATAAAAAGTATAAATATATTACTACAATAAATAAAAGGGATATAAACACTATAGTTCCAATAATTTCCATGATTTGACAATAAAGTCCTAAACTTTATTTTTTTTTACAGTAAAGTCCTAACTACCGGCAATTTTTGACACGCTTACCATTTTTTGTCAGTTAGCCGGTAATTAGGACTTTACTGTCAAAAATATAAAGTTTAGGATTTTTTTGTTAAATCATTAAAAATATTGGGACTTTAATGTATAGTCTTGGTTTCCATAGAAACAAATAATTTTATCAGCCTCGTGAGACCTAATTCGTAGCCCAAGAACTTTTAATTATGATTTTCATCGCAACACCATTGTTTTTTTTTACCATCATCTTTACTCTGCTACAATCATTGATCAGGGAAAACAAATGCAAAAGAGAGAGTGAGAGAGGGTGAGAAGACTTGTAAACTTTCTTCTTGGTTCGCCGCCAAATCTTAAACTGAAAAGAGGGGACAGCTTGTACAAACACAAGCAGCACACCCCTAGTCAAAATGGTGTGAATGTAGAGAAGGGGTAAAAAAAGGCAGTTTCGTCTATTCTGATTTCTTAGTTCTCCATTTTTAGGACTGCAAAAATCCAACATAACCCTGGTTCTTTCTTTATTTCTTGTTATCTCCATTTTTTTTTCAATGTCGGTTTGTTGAGATTAAAAAAACTATGTAACAAGAAGCAAATGTTAAGGATTTCAATAGAATCTAGCTAGCAGAGCAGGTTTCAATAACTTTTATGTTTAAAGACTATCATACCATCAAATTTCTAACAAAAAATTGATATATACACTAAAATCTCAATATTTTTAACGATTTGACAAGAAAATCCTAAACTTTATGTTTTTTACAATAAAATCTCAATTCACGATTTGACAAGAGAGTCATACACTTTATTTATTTTGACAATTTAGTCCTAATTATCGGTTAACCGGCAAAAAAAGGTAAGCATGTCAAAAACTGTCGGGTAGTTAGGATTTTACTGTCAAAAAAATAAAGTTCATGATTTTCTTGTCATATTATTGAAAATATTAAGACTTTAGTGTATATATCCCTAAATAAAAAGATAAAGTAAATTATTGTATCCACTGGCAAGCATAAATCATATCATCATTTTTTATAAAAAGAAAAATAGTTAAATTGTTGCTGAAGTCTTACGAAGTGCTGACAAATAAAAGGCGGGTTGGGATAGTACCGTTGGCGCCAACATTCCGCGGTAAGCAATTTTGAGATTTTTGTGGGTTGAACAGTTTGGCTAAACCATTAAGAAAGGGTAATAGATCATTTTTTTTTTTTTTTTTTTTTTATGTTGCGTTAAGGATATAGGAAGGCAATAATAAAGGATAATTTTTTTATTATTATTTTGTTATTTTTATTTTTTGTTTCTTGGTTGTTGCCAGGTCAACATTAGAAACAACAAATTGGGTTTTATTATTTTTAAATTTAGCCCAATAGCCAAGCGTAAATACATTGAGGGCATGATCCATTAACATTAGTTTTTTGATTCAATTTCAGCAGCCTACTGTGTCAATGCGTTGGGGCACCTGCCCGGCTGCCCCATCCCACCCTCTTCTTCTTGCGTACGCAGCCTATGGTTAGCCTACTGGGGCACCGACCCGTTTGGTAAACCAATTGCACCCGACCCGAGAGTGTTTTGCACTCTACTAGTTGTGCTAACCATAAACCATTCTAGTTCGTCATTGTTCTTACGACTCTCAGTTGATCTTCATGGCGCCAACAAATCAGGTATACTATTTGCTTATTCTTTTATCTTTGATTATCTATATCATGAAAATGCACTGTTGTTTACATGATTATACCTTCTTCATCTTGAATCGTTTCAATTTATGCCTACAGTACCTGTTTATCATTTTCATCCCCACATAGTGTTTAAACAGAGTTGATTGAAATTTGTGGCCCAATTTTCTGTTTTTTGAGTGTCGGACGAGAGTAAAATCGATATCTTGTATACTGAATTCCCCTTCTTTTATACCTTTTAAGCTAATGATCAAGGGGTTTGAATTGGGGTTCCTTTAGTCCACGAGGAAGTTTTTAAACCCACTGATTTTGTAACCGTTTTACTTTTTAATCAAAGTGAAAATCAATTTCGATGTCATCCAGTCAATCACATGTCAAATGGTTCATTTTACCACACACAATTCAATATAATCTTCTTCCCCCTTTCCTTGACTTTGATCCTATTTTGGCTTTCATAAGTGAGTGAGGAAATAATTAGTTCAAATTCCTTCATTATCTTAAAGCTTCTATTTTGGCACTGTGTGTTATTCTCTATGATTCTCAGACACCTGACACTCCAGTAAGATTCACATTTTCTTTCCTTAAAAGGCTTTGATCATGAAGAATTCCTTTCATATTTTTAGAAACAAATTTCATCATTAAGAATTTAATTAATTGGATATCAATCTCTATTAGTGTGTGGCTCCATTCATGACCATGGAAAAATTTATGTTTGACAATTGTTGACCATCTCAACTTGGTTCATCTGTTTATCTTTTAGATTTCATGGAAAATATTTGAAGCTTGAACATTCTTTGTATGCAGGTATTGGTTAAAGAGAGCTCACATGTGAGAACCATCATATTAAACAGACCTAAGCAACTTAATGCTCTTTCTTTTGAAATGGTAATAAACATTTTCTATTTATTTCTGTAAAAGAGAAATTAATTTTGAAGCATTATAACTTTTTTATGTAGCTAAAAATGAAAGTTGACCTATCATTTGTATCTTATCTTTCTAGATATCCCGGCTCTTGGAACTCTTTCATGTCTATGAGGAGGATCCCAATGTGAAGCTGATAATCATGAAGGTACCCCCCCCCCCCCCCCCAAACCAAAAAAAAATAAAAATCTAGGAAGAGTATTAATGCTCAATTTTGGAATGTAAATGCAGGGTGAAGGAAGGGCTTTTTGTGCTGGTGGAGATGTTGCAGCTGTTGTTCAGGATATTAATTTAGGTGTTAGAAGTTAGATGCAAGAAAGATGAATGTATTTTCATTATTACTTATCCAATTTTTTGGGTATCAGGTAACTGGAAACTTGGTGCAAATTTTTTCTCAAAAGAATTTACATTGAATTATTTGATGGCAACATACACTAAACCACAGGTAATCAACTCTCATAATTGGGTGCTTTCTTTTTAGCTTTTACAAATATATTTTTTCAGAAAATTCAAAATCTTTCATTTGACCATGATGATCTTTATGTTGACTTCAAATCATATTTCAAGGTATCACTCCTTAGAGGAATTGTAATGGGAGGTGGTGCAGGAGCTTCAATGCATGGTAGATTTCGAGTTGCTACAGATAATTCGGTATCTCCCTTTCTATATTCATCTTCTTCAAGAAACTTTTCAACATTTATTTTTTATATTTCTTGTTGACATAAAACTATTTGCTCCATATATAATATTTTTTTTGTAGGTTTTTGCAATGCCAGAGACTGCAATAGGGTTATTCCCAGATGTGGGTGCCTCTTTTTATTTATCAAGACTACCTGGATTCTTTGGTAATTTCATTTTATATCTTACATTTTATGATACAATTAAAATTTATAATATTTTTTGATGTTGGAGTTTATATTTTATGGCAGGGGAATATGTAGGTCTTACTGGTGCTAGACTGGATGGTGCAGAAATGTTTGCATGTGGTCTTGCAACCCACTTTGTTTCTTTAGAGGTATTAATTAATTTATCATTTTCCAAATTTATTTATCTCTTTGTCCCAAAATATTGTATTCATTTTAGAGTTTTAAAAATATTTACTTCCTGAAGTTAACTTTTCATGGAATATCTAAGTTTTTTTTATTTCTAAGAAATGAAAGTAGGATGCTATAATAAACAATTCAATAGAAGTGCATTGCTATTTCTTGTATTCAACACTAAATTTTTTAATTCTTGAATGACATTGAACAGAAATTATCCTTATTAGAAGATGCATTATGCAAAGAAAATACAGGTGATCCAAAAATCATCTGCAATATTATCAATGAGTTCTCCTACACTCCTAAGTTGAAAGATAAGAGTCAATATTTTCGGTATACTTATACTTATATTCATGCTCTTCTATTTTTTTATTTCTTTTTATATTCTTCACTTGAATTTTTGCTACCCTATATTACAGGTTCAAAACTATTAACAAATGTTTCTCACGAAGAACAGTTGAAGAGATTATATCTGCACTTGTAAGTTCAACAGTTGATTTACACATCAACATGAAATCTCCTGATTTTATGCATTTTGCATGAAAATGATTCCTTTCACCATTTGTAATTCTTTACTTACGACTTTCATTTTTATTTTTTTAGGAGAAAGAGGTTGATAAAAAGATAGATGATTGGATCTCTTGGACTCTTGAGTCTTTAAAGAAAGCATCACCAACAAGTCTCAAAATTTCTCTTCGATCCGTAAGGATTCACCAAGCCCTTCATTTTAAAAAAGCTGGTTAATTCCTAAAAGGGTATTTTTGTCATTTGGTGTGCAGATTAGAGAAGGGAGACTTGAGGGTGTTGGTGAATGTCTTATCCGTGAATACAGGATGGTTTGTGCAGTCATGCGAGGACAAGTCAGCAAGGATTTCCTTGAGGTACTTTCAAAAATTATTTTTACAAATAAAACAACTTCATTAATCATAATTATATATATAATATATTGAGTATAATTAAAACTATACATTGCATTTACATATAACATAAATCATTCATATGAAAAAATTCATTTTATTCCTACAAACCAACCAAAAAAATTCATTTGTTTTTTTTTTCCCTTAACAAGACCAAACTCTTTCTTATGCAGGGATGTAGAGCATTACTAGTTGACAAGGATAAAAATCCAAAGGTAAAACATAACTCCTTCCTACAAGACATCATACAATGATACAACAGGTTGTACTGTGTTTCACATGCATTTTTATTTATTTCTGTTTCAGTGGGAGCCTTCAAAACTCGAGTTTGTGAGTGATCGAATGGTTGACCATTACTTTGAAGGATTGAAGGTTGAAGATTGGGAAGATTTGAAACTCCCAATTAGGTCAAACTTACCTTCACATGCAATTTCTAAGCTCTGAGAGTTGTCATTAAGAGGTAAATTAGGGTCCTCCTTTATGGTGTGTTAGTAGCCTCAAATTCGTTAATACCATCGTGTAATAACAATGTAAACTTATGGTTATCAAAATGTAATAAAAATCGGCATAACATTATATGTAGTAACCATGGAAAAAAAAAAGGTAACTTAAGAGTTTACTTATGAATTTTCATCTCCTTATATTGTAGCAACTATTATTGAGTTTAAATCATTTTTACGTCTTTGTAATGACTAAAATGCCACTAATATTGTCGAATACTCAAGACCACGGTTTGTTAATAACACAAAGTCAAGTTGTAAATTTGCATTGCTTTGTGAAGCAACGTTGTTTCTTTTGTCAAAATTGGTTATGAATTGGTGAAATGGTCTAAATAAAGAGAAGAGTGAAATGGTCTTGTCCTTTAAAGTATGAGAAACGGTCTTGTATTTGTTTAAGGCTTTAAGCAGCAATATTATGGTTGCAACTTGAGTATATACACACATGGATGCTTTTATATTATCGTGTTTTCACGCCTTGCATGTTTCAAGAAAAAAAAAGGCTACTTTGATAGTTAAAGCTTCAAGTTAAACAAACGAACACTAAATGTATATACAAATAGTTGAAGCAAATAATAGCAACAAAACATGGAGTCATCCTAGCAAATACAAACGATGGTCATATACATTTATATTTCATAATTTTGATTTTGGAGGTGATCACCATAGAGTAGTCGAATAATAACGCTATCGTCCCACTTCTTTAATCTCTCATAGATTTAAAATATTAAATATACTAAAATTTAAGATATTCCAATAAAATGTATAGAACAAACCCCATGAATTTTTATTACATAAAATGGGTTGTTATAAGTTTATTAGCATAACATAAAGTCTTACCAAACTAAGAATCTCCATTAAAATTGACATGCCAAGATCATGGTCTATATATCAACGCCATAGAGGCTCTCATTGACCAAAACACATTCACTTTTATTATTATTATTATTATTTTCTGTATTTATTTACACAAGATCATATGTCATCATTTTGATTTTTGAGGTGATTACCACATATATAGTAGTTAACCAAAAACTCTATTTGACTATATATTATTTAACAATCTTGAGTTTTTCTTCTCATAATTTGAATTTTCCACCTATTGATACCTATCCGTTTCTAGTTTGCTCCATAACTCAAGCAATAAAGTTGACAAAGTTAACTATATGATTTTTTTCAAAAAGGACATATTAAACTAAATCTCTTTAATTTTTGTATGATAAATAACACATTTCATATGCGTGATTTGAATAGAGTTGCAGAAATAGATTAAGTCAGCCGCGACTAACTTTTTTTTGTGAATTGATTGAGTTACGCTTACGCAATAAGTTAGACGTGCTGCTACTATTAATTATCAATGTATTTATATTTAGTTTATTATAGATGTTAACCGACTGTCACACTTTAAAATTTTATAAAATATTAATTAATATAAATGTCAAACTAAATATTATACTTGGTAAGAGTTCAAAGATAACCGTTATACTTTTAAAGTTTAATCTATTTTTAAGGAATATTGTCAACTAAAAATGATTTTCTTTTGTATCATCAAATTCAAACACACCGAGTATAGTTAAACTTAATTGCAGTATAGAATCATTATGATCGTTACACATATTATGTCAATCTTTTGGGGATTAGGATATAACATAATACAATGTTACTATATATATATATATATTTTTTTAATGCATTAATCTTTATCGCAATAGAAATGAACTATAATTCCGATTCTTTTTAATATTTCATTTATCGTCATTATACATTTCAATTGTTTATTGTGCTTTTTTAAACATCAAACGAATACACATTCTGACTCTAATCTTACTCTTAATTTCACACCATTGTGTATAGCATATGTAGTTTCGGCCCACTTTCTATTAGGCCCTATTGTGTATGTATTTTGTATTTATACATGATAATACATAATGCAAAGTAACCAGCTATGGGAGATATTCACAATTACATGGTATCTTTCTCTCCTTATCTAAAAACCCTAGCCTTTAAGGTTAATATAACATAGTTGAAAAACCCTATGGAATAACAAACATATAATCGTTTATCCCACTTAGCCTATATTTTGATCCTTTAAACTATGATGCATAGCTGGCATTGGATACAATGTCTTCGATCATCTCGCTGCAACCCGCACCCGATACCGAATTGAATATAATTGATTCCCTTGTGATAAAATGTGTTTTAACATTTATATTTTGACCCAAACTTTCGTGTATATGGCTTTAGTATAATACTGATAAAAATGTGTGTGTGTGTGTTTGTCATTATCAAAAGGTTTACTTTGTGAATTATTTTATTTGACATACATCATCCTGCCCTATCCAATCATAGTTCGACATTTATCCTTGATGGTAGCAAGCTAATTTCATATTTACAAGGGTAATAAGTCAACGGTAATTAAATAAATTATGTTACATAGTATTAGGCAGATTTATAAACCACTTTGCTCTAAAATTTGTCTTTTATATGATGGTTGGTCAAAGTTTTGGGTACTAGTCCCATTTTTGGTTACGTATAGCAAACTAATATATAGTTTTTATCATCTTTTTTCTACACACATATGAAGCAAAAAGACAAGGTTTATTTACTTACAAGGTTTATTTACTTACTTGAAATGTTCGTAAACTAGTTTTAACACATGGCTACAAGAAATGTCGCCCCCACTATTGAGTCGATTATTATACTCTATCGTTAATACTCCGGTGTTCCCCTAATATCCCACATCCATTGAGGTCGCCCTTGTTGCTCTTTGTCGCCCTTATGTTTATGTTTTTTTTTAATATTATTTTCTCGACACTCAGAAATTGCTTTCAATGCAAAACAATACCAAAATTACAGAAAATAGCAGAATTATCAAAACACATGATGAACTAATATAAAAAGTACTATGTTAAAGTTATTTATCGGGAAAATGACTTGTAATATATTTTTCTTTTTTACACATTTAGTCACTGGATTTTTTTTGTTCATATTTGCCACCTTAAACTTGTTATCTTGTACATAGTTAATCCTTATGACCAGTTAGTGTGGGTTTAGCCGGTTTCCGACATTCTTTGCAGCTCCAGCGAGACTTCGGTCATCTTCACCGGCCAACATGATTTTTTCGACGAAAAATATCATTCCACCGCCCCTACCATATCATTCCAACCACCTTATACCACCTTTACACCACCGCAAACCACTCCATTTGAACATCTTCAATGGTCAAGGTCAAATTCAACGGTCAACGACTTGCACCTCGTGACCCTTACCAGTCGCGTCGTGATCTACTAAATGACAAAATAGTCAGGAACACTCAAAAATCGCATTGTGACCCTCATCAAGTCGCGCCACTAAATCTGGCTTAACAACCTTCCTCGTTAAGGACTTAATCCTTCAAGTCCAAAAGCTCAAAACTTCAAATTCGATTCTCACAAGGGTCTTAATGGACAAAGTTTCCAACTCTATCCATAAGCAAGGCTAAATCACTCAAAAATCAAAACCCTAAGTACAAAAGTGTCCAAAACACACTTATCTTCATGCATAGAGCAAATAGGGCTCTTGCATGCACTCTTTATTCAATCATGTGATCAGATATGGAACCACAGATGAATCAAAAGCTCAAGAGTTCTCCAAACTCTATAGAACAAGCCACAAAGGAACGAAAGCTCATAAAAATGGAACAAAAACCCAACAACTCATAGATATGTGGAAGAAAAGAGATAAAGCTTGGATCTTTGAACTTATAAGGGTCCAGAAGGAGTAAAAAAAAGTTGAATACTTCAAGTGCTAAGCTCTAAAGTCTAATCTTTCTTATTTCCTTTGCTCAAGAACATAAAACTACACCAAAAGCGGATTTAGGAGAGAGGATGAGCTCCAACGTTTCAAAAGAGGCTAGAGTTTCATTAGAGATGCTTAAGGAGGTCGTGGAGGTTCCAAATGCTGAAACCCTAGGTTTAATACCCTTAAATAGGCCCAAATCTCGAGGCCTAAGGCCTAAGCCTACACAACGGGATTTGCACCGTGACACCTTATGTGTCACTTCTTTATGGAATCGCACTATGACACCTTATGTGTCGCTTCATGAAAAGCTTGGTCTAGCAAGGCCCAATTTAGCTTAAGCCCAAACTGCTTCCAACCTAAAACTAGCCTTTAAGTTTTAAGCTTTACTCACTTAGCCTAAAAACCTCATTACTTTAAGGTCCAAAATTCATCCCTTAAAGTCCGAGACCTTCACATGATAAATTTGACATCCGACTTTCCAATAAAAGAAACATCCTAAAACCGGATGTTACATGTTTTTCCTTCCACCACCTCACCGTAAACTACTACCCTTCCCCTATTAATCATTTAAAAATCAAAGGTCGCAGTTTCGAGGAGCCTGTTTTTTACCACTGCCAAAGGGATACCCATAGGAAGAATAAAAGAAGAGTGTATTATTTCTTGTTTGTTGGTTGCAGCTAAAAACTTAGACATAGAATCAAGAAATAGACCACCGTGGATTACAAAATGGGGCAGGAATTCAAGGTTTTCGGTTGAAATTTTGTTGGGGGTTTGAAGGTCTAGAAGTCAGATATCGATTTGTGGGTTTGAAATCATCCAAAAAATCATGTTGGCCAGAGACACGTCCGTGAAGATGACTGGAGTCTCGTCGGAGCTACAAAGAACATCAGAAATCAATTAAACCCACACCAACCGGTCATAAAGTTTGATTGTGTACAAACTAAAAGTTTAATGGGAAAATGTGGACAAAAAAATCAGTGACTAAATGTGTATAAAACGAAAAATATCTTATCATTTTCCCTTATTTATTACACAAAAACGAAATTCGAAACATAAAATATAATATAAACTACTCAGACGCAAAATTATCGTTTTTTTGTCAAACTTGTTGTTCTACTCGTTATTGCGTCCGCTATTATTTTGGGGTCGAGAACGATCGCAGCATGTCTTCAAGTCTCACTCTATACTTTGGGTTATTAAGAATATCATCAAAAAGATTAACCTACAAAATAAATATGTACAAACATTAATCAAATTGATACAACATTAATAAACTTATTAGTTATAACTACAAACTAAAATAAAAGGATTTATCAAGCTACTA